GGCACCATTACTTTGCTGCCTAGTCATGAAACACAGTGGTTGGGGCAAATCAGTAAGAAATTTCTCTTCCTCTAGACTCTGTTGAGTATGACCTTGAACAAGTCACTTAAATCTTGCAGGGTCTGTGTTTCTCCATATGCAAAAAGAAGAGACTTAAGGGTGTGCTATGAAATATAAGAATCCTCCAAATTTTAAACAAGTGCATTCTCAGTGTTTTGGGCATACTTGGAACAAAACAGCTTGCACCAAGTACTAAGAACCTCACCATCCAGGAAGAAGAAAATTTTCAGGAACTGTCCATGTTAGAGACTACTTAAAATCAAACTTATCAATGACAGGTATCTGACCATGAAAGATAAAAGCTACAGTTCTAAGATATGATCAGGACATATTACCCATGTACATATAGAGGAATTATTCATTGCATACAAATTATAGGGTTGTGGGGATTTTGTTTTGTGAGAGTTCTCAAATTTACCAATTTCATAAATGAAAACTTGGTAAAGATTGCATAAAATTGCATAAAGATGCAATTTGGTGGACAACATGTCTTCACCTCAATTTGTGAAGAGAACCTGAGTTGTAATAAGAGCCATGAAAAAATGGTAAGGTCAACTCAGACATGGTGGTGCACACTTGTAGTCTCAGCTACTAGGGAGGCTGAGGTGGATGAATCACTTGAGCCCAGGAGTTCAAGGCCAGCCTGGGCAACATAGAGCAATCTGGTCTTAAAAAAAAAAAAAAAAAAAAAAGTAAAGTTACATGTAACTTACCCGGGAGTTTATTTTATATGACACAAAGCTAAAGTTGTTGCTAAATTCTGTTATTTTGTTACAGCATTTGCCCACTGATGCCCTGTTAGAGAAACTGAAAACCATGTTAGTTTAAACATGACTTTTGAGAGGCTGGCAGACAGATTCCAAAATAAAATGAAGTTCTAATTTAGAATGGTTGTAACTCTCTTTCTTTACAAAGGTATCCTGAGATGTCTCTACACTCTGAAAAGATGCTGTTAGTCACATAAGTGGATGGACATTTATGGAGGGCAAGACGGCAACTGTCACTCAAACAGCTACTATAGAATGAGTACAGTAAAGCCAGGGTAAAGGTTACCCATAGTACTTATTATGTTGATGGAAACTGCTTGTTAATTTGTCTTCCTCACTAGCCTGCAAGCTCCATGAGGACAGAGAATCTGTGCCTGGTTCACTGCTGGATCCCTGACATACAGTATGCACTCAACAAATATTTGACTGATTGAATATGGAAACACCATAATTCAAAGGCTAGTCATGAGCTTTAGAAATGTAAGTTCTCATGTCACCTATTCATCTAAAGATGACTGGGATCTACTAATTAAATTCACAAGGACCCGATTTCATAAATGAAGGTCCTAAGTGGGAGATATTAACTGGAATAACAATTGATGTTTGTCATCTGAATATAGCATCTTTTACTGGTCAACTAGGTAGTTAAATGTTAGAACAGAGGGTATTTTGTGAGAAGAACATTAAAGTATAAATAGTAGAAGATCTTAGAGAAAACATTGTTAAGTTACAGTTGACTGATCCTTACTCTGTTTAAAGGATCTCTGTTTAAAGAACAGATAATCTTTTACAATCAAATCACCACCTCAAATCAGTACCAATCAACTTTTTACAAGCCAGCCATTTTTCCTTTTTCGATGTTCTGCATCAGTTACATCAGCAATTCCACTCTTTTTTTTTCTTTTTCTTGAGATAGTTTCCCTCTTGTCACCCAGGCTGGAATGCAATGGCACAATCTCAGTTCACAGCAACCTCTGCTTCCCAGGTTCAAGCAATTCTCCTGCCTCAGCCTACCAAGTAGCTGGGATTACAGGCACGCACCACCACTCCCGGCTAATTTTTGTATTTTTAGTAGAAACAGGGTTTCGCCATGTTGGCCAGGCTGCTCTTGAACTCCTGACCTCAGGTGATTCACCCGTCTCAGCCTCCCAAAGTACTTATAGACATAAGCCACCGCGCCTGGCCTAGCAATTCTACTCTTAAAGTATTATTCTGTGTTATAATTTAAAACAATAAATGTTCTCTTTTTGCTACTTACATTTTAATTTGCAGAATTCCAAATGTGATTTTAGAGTTAAACTCAGTAGCTACACATTTACAGAGTTTGGGGGAAATGTCTGCAAACTATTAATTCCATAGTTTGTAAATCCTTATTTATGCTCTGTGTGTTCAATAATGCTTCCTTACCTGATCCCCAAATAATGGGGTCTTAGCTTTATCTTTTGGGTTTATAGCCCTGTACCTACCTAATACTACAGGAGAAATAGGAAGTCAGACAAAAGGAATATCTTAGGGCATTGATTTTAAACCTTATTTTGGTACAGACCACTAAGAGAACTTAATGAAAGCTTCCATGACCTTATTTCTAAAAACACGCATATCAAAACAAATGTTGATGTACTTTTTTGGCTATTACTAGATCCCCTAAATCTTGATCATAGGTCCCAGGATGAGTAGTTTTGCCTTAAGGGCATAACTATACACAATTTCAGATAATGTAGCTTAGTACTGGTTTGACATTAATTTGGAATCACGCCATCAGACTGACAGGATGCCAAAGGTGAAGCCATCAACCAAAGAATGGCTGAACCTATAAAAGTTAAAATTATTTAAAAAAATTAAAACCAATCAACCAACTGTTGGGAGAAACTGAGGCAGGGCTTGCATGTCTGACATAATGTAAAAGAGTCTTGGAACATGTCCGGGGTCCAGGGTCTAAAACCCCTCGTGGCCTTGGGAACACCAAGCTCTGTGCTAAAGGGTGGAAGGCTGCCCTGCTGCACCATAATCTAAGCCCAGGGCATAAAAACCCTCGTGGCTTGAATGGAATCCAGGGCTCAGGGCACAAAACCCCTCATGGCCTCTGAAATGTGTCTAGACTTGCTGGCTCCTTGCTTCTAGCACTCCTAGGCTCATATATCGATTGTATCTTAAACTAGAAGAACATGTTTCCCATTATCTCAAGTAGCGGAACATGTTCCATACGCTTCAAAGAAAATGCCAAACTGTCACAGCTGTAGATCATGCGCTTGATACACTGCTTTCTTTCAATCCCCACATCCTCACCCCCCCCCCGCTTCTTTGTTTGATTACCAATAAATAGCGTGGGCTTCTAGAGCTTGGGGCCTTAGCAGCCTCCATACTAGCATCAGCCCCCTAGACCCACTTTATGCACTCTTAAACTTGTCTTTTCTCATTCCTTTGACTCCACTGGACTTCGTCACCCCCACGTTAGGTCTGGCCGTCCCAACAACCAACAGACCAATAAAGAGTGACTGAAGACCTAAACCAAAAGTTCTTTAGCAGAAACTATAGATTGTAAAGCTATCACATTAGCCATATACATCTACATTACAGCAATCAATCCTGGTCTCTTTTTTTTTTTATTTTTATTTTTTTGAGAGAGGTTTGTCTTACTCTCTCATCCAGGCTGGAGTACGGTGACATGATCACAGCTCACTGCAGCCTTGACCTCCCCAGCTCAAGTGATCCTCCTGTCCCAGCTTCCCAAGCAGCTGCGACTACAGCCATGTACCACCATGCTCAGCTAATTTTTTTTTTTTTAAGACAAGGTCTCACTTTGTCACCCAGACTGAAGTGCAGTGGCACAATTTCAGCTCACTGCAGCCTCCACCTCCCAGGTTCAAGGGATCCTCCTGTCTCAGCCCCACAAGCAGCTGGGACTATAGGCATGTGCCACCATGCCTAGCTAATTTTTATTTTTTGTAGAGATGAGGTCTCATTATGTTGCCCAGGCTGGTCTTGAACTCCTGGACTCAAGTGATCCTCCTGCCTCAGCCTCCCAAAGTGCTGGTATTACAGGTATGAGCCACTATGCCTGGCTAATCCTGGCATCTTTAAATGCAATAGATGACATGTTAGTAGCAATAATAGTAACAACAACTAATGTTTATTAAGCATTTATTACTTGCAAAGCACTGTTCTAACTGCCTTACAGGAATTCATTTAATCTTTACCGCTACCCTAAGAAATATTGTACTTTCCTCATTTTAAAGACAGGAAAACAGAAGTTTTCTGACTACACACATTGGAGACAGGCCTACCAAATGCACGATAGACTGTGCTAGTAACAACATGTTTCCTTGGACACAATTTGACCTAATAGTTGATTTATTAAAATCTATGTGATAATAAATCAGAATAAAATAGGGTCCATTAATGTTTGCTAGAAGAATACCATGTTGACTAATAAATTGCCTGGGAAGGGCTTTGATCATTTTAGAAGAAACACACCCCAAAACCCAAAAATGTCTGTACTTTTTCCAAATATGTACAACTACTGATCATCTACAATTTAAAGGGATAACATCAATACCGACATTGCTAGACTATGACGTTCCCTCTTAAAAACTTGCATTTTTGGACTCACTTCAAAATGCTTGAGGTACTCTTCATAAAAGACATGAATTGAGGCAACCACTGGGAATGCCTGAAGATACTGCCACCCTTTCATTTAAGAGGCTTGCTCCTTGCCAGGGATCTGAAATGACTTCACCACACACATTCAGCAAACTGAATTCCCTCAAGCTTGTGGGAACTAAGCCTTCAGGCAGAGAATTAGGGTGTGGTGAACTTACTCACATTTTTTTTTAACCTGCACAAGCACAGTCCTGGCAGGAATTAGCCTCAGACTTTTCAAACACCCTTTCAATAAGGGCGGCAATTTGTACTCCACCCTCCTATTTCTTAGAGCACTTCAGAGACTGGAGTGTCACTGAGGCTGGAGAAAGACAGGCACATACTGGACATTATTCTAAAATGTTAATTTCCCATGCAATTGAAAATCCACAAGTAGCTAGGCTGCCAGCTGAGGAACTGCTATCATTCCTAAATGCGAACCTAGCTCACGGCCACATGCACAAGGAGGCCTCATAAAACTGTCACCTGAAAACAATGACAATATTGCATCTAATCAAAGTCAAATTTGCTTACAGTGAGGTCTTTGCACTCTTTGGGGGCTGGAGGAGTCTGACTTTATTGCTTTCTGTAAGGCTTCATCGGCACCTTCCACAGCATCTTCGAGGCCTTGCTCAGAATCATTGGATTTTGATTTTCCTGCTTCATTTACATTGGACTTGTCAAGGTTTTCAGACATTCTCAATTAAGTTTATCCACTTTCCTAGGAAAGAAAAACACAAAAAAAGAACTAAAAGTACTCTAGCTCTGTCACCAACTAGCAATGTGACTCAGGGCAAATCATTTAATCTCTTTGGGTTTCAGTTTTCTTGTTTGTAGAATAAATGAGCTTGCTAAGATCTTATCCAGCTATAATACTCCACTTCAATGACTAAACAGATACTTGTAAAATGACATTTGTAATTTACCAGATTTCTGGATCTCAGGTAGCAGTTAGTTGGAATATCTTTGTCCTACTCCTGAGTAGCATGTTACAGGAATACAGGGCCTTAAACTATTAGAAGACACACTTTAAACTGCCTGCTGCTACTATTTTAATCAGTGATTCAATCTTAAATTCTTTACTTTCATTCCTAAGAGCAGATTGGTAAACTCTTTGGAAATAATGTTTTTAATCGGGCTTACAAGTGAATATACTGGGCTAAAGGGCTGATTCCTTGATATTATCACGTGAATAAGATACCTAGAGATGATAGAAACTAGAATTTTTTTTATTTTATTTATTTATTTATTTTTGAGATGGAGTTTTGCTCTCGTTGCCCAGGCTGGAGTGCAACTGAGCATTCCCGGCTCACTGCAACCTCCGCCTGTTAGGTTTAAACAATTCTCCTGCCTCAGCCTCCCAAGTAGCTGAGATTACTGGTGTGTGTCACCACGCCCAGCTAATTTTTTGTTTTGTTTTGTTTTGCACTCCAGCCTGGGCGACAGAGCAAGACTCCGTCTCCAAAAAAAAAAAAAAAAAAAAAAGGCCTGTTTTAATTACAGTGAAAGTTTTAGTCAATTCCTCCCCTCTCCCTTTTCCTAGGGTGTTTCTGGGAGAGAATAAAGACACAATGTTTCTGCATTTGCTGAAAATAATCAACATTTGTAACATCAGCACTTGAAGATCACAAAACATTTTCATAAGCACTAAGAAAGTCAATTAGACTTTCTTACACACAGGGAACACAATCAAGTGATCAAAAGAAATGTCAACTGATTTAGGGAGTTTGGCAGACTGTGTTCCGCATATTAGAGAGGTGAAGAATCACCTGATAGAATTATGTGAAATTTCAGAGAACTCCATTAAACAGAATGAAGTTACTGGAATTGAAATATTCAGGCCTGCTTTTTTTTTTTTTTTTTTTTTTTTTATAGATTTTTGAGACAGACTCTTGCACTGTTGCCCAGATTGAAGTGCAGTGGCGCCATCTCGACTCAGCTCACTGTAACCTCTGCCTCCTGGGTTCAAGGGATTCTTCTGCCTCAGCCTCCCCAGTAGCTGGGATTACAGGAACCCGCCACACGCCTTGCTAATTTTTGTATTTTTAGTAGAGATGGGGTTTCACTATGTTGGCCAGGCTCGTGTCTAACTCCTAACCTCTAGTGATCCGCCTGCCTCAGCCTCCCAAAATGCTGGGATTATAGGCGTGAGCCACTGTGCCTGACCCAGACCTGTATTAATATGAAGGTTGTTTTCATATATTTCCCCTTTCTAGTCTCATTTTAGCTTCCAACACCCCACTGGAGATACCCATCTCCTCTGTATCCTGAATCCTATTAGGGTCAGGAAATGCTCCAATATCCAAAGCATAACATTACCAGCATATTCTATGAGAAAGGACAAACAAAACGCTTCTAATTTTATCCTCTTCACATGCTGAGAAGGAGCCCAGGAGGGATGAAGTAATTCATTCTGTGCGGTGAGGAGGAAAGGCAGGATTTCTAGGTCTCTAATCAGCTTAGTAAACTAACCCCATCCTTTTATGATTGAGTCCAGGTCCTATCTCTTCCCAGGACACTTCCCGGACCTCACCAGTGATTGCACCTTTCTCAACTCCTGCAGGGCTGGCTAGTCGACATTTAGCATTTGTCACTGCCTTAAATTCAATTCAAAGTGTGCTTATTTAAATAGAAAGATGCAAATACATAGTCTAGAGGGGGAGGCAGACAGGCTTACAAGGAGCCATAATGAAACTTAAGCCTTAGTGGCATTATGAAATTGCCCAGGGAATATAGCAGAGGAAGAAACTAACTCCGCCTGGAAGGAGATTGAGAAAACCTTCCCAGAAAAGATGACATTTACAGTGATCTTTAAAAGGAGTAGGATTTCACCTAGTTAAAACATGTCTGGAGGGGGAGAGGAGGTGAAAAGAAGGGCATTTCACTCAGAGGACAGAAGCCAAGGCACAAGAAAATCAGAAAAGGAAGTGGCTAGTGATAATGGAAAGATGCGATGGGGCCAGATGGTAAAAGTGCTAGTTTTTATTTTAAAATTCTCCACCTAGATTTCGAACTTCTTACGAGCCAGGAAAAGTCATATTCCCCACTTATGCTCCATCCGTATATTCCCCAAATAGACACCCACAAGTATCTGTTGACAGAGATGAATCCCTACGTCATTTCTGTGATGTCATTGTATGTGGGAGGGGTGGGCGTTGGTTTCACACACACCTGGGCCCCAATTCTGACTCTTTACTAGCTGAGTAACTTCAGTTTCCTCCTCTGTAAAATACAGCTACCTACCTGCTTGGTTTGGGGGGGAGATGAAACGAGGGATCGTGCACGGCAGAGGCTGGCACACGGCAGGCCTTCTACAAATGGTAACTCTAATTAAAGGGCTCTAGGATGTGGCCAGGAACCATTTAATTTGCTTATATCGCGCGCATCCATTCAACCCCCACTGTGTCTAAAAAGAGAGCCGAGGGGAGGAGGATCCTCGCACTTGCCAAGAAGACGGTCATCCGTCGGGGCTGCACGCGGGCCTAGGCTGGACACAAGAGGCTCCCCAGCAGAAAGGGTCTTTCAGCAAAAGAAAGGGGCTCTGTCCCCGGCGCCGGGAATCACCTCCTCTGGCACTGAGCTCCACTCGCGCCCGGCGTCCGGATTCCGTTGTAAACAGCTGTTCGGGCCAGCGAGGGAGTGGCAGGGCCGGGAGCAGGGAGGACGCGGGCGCGCCGAGAGGGCGGCCTTGAGGGGTGAGCCCCACCCGCCCGCGGACCCCGCCTCTTCCTCGCCTGCCCCCGACATCCCGGGACGGGATCCGACGGGAAGAGACGAAGAGATGCCTGCGACTTGGACCGCGCGCCTCCCAGGCGGGCCCCGCCAGCCTCCGCCCCAGCTCCCGCTCTCCTCACCCTGCCGCGGAGTCGGCGTTCTTCCTCCTGCCGCTCCCGCCGCGCGAATCAGGCGCGGGCTGGCGCCGCGGCGGAAGCCGGAGGGATGCGCGGCAGGCTGGGGCGGTTCAGCCTCTGCTCCTCCGAGGCCGCATCCCTCGCCACGCGGCGGGCGGTCCTCCCAGCCCGACTCTGGTGGGCAGCGGTCAGAGCGGCCGCTTCTCAGCATCAGGAAGGAGGAGACTGCTCTTGGCCGGGAGGCGCCAATATAGGGCAGCGCCATGTCTTCGTACGGAAAGGCAGGCCGTTCTTTCCCCTGCTTGCCGAAGGGGTTCAGTAAGCGGTGACTCGCAGCTGGGCGGCGCCATGTTTCCTCAGGGAGCGGTGGAAAGCGTGGCCGATGACCGCTGAGGGGGCTCCGTGGGCAGTGGCTCCGAGCCAAGAGTGGCCCGCTCAACGCAGCGAGGCGCCATTTTTCCGTACGGAAACGTAAGAGGAGCGGCCGAGTGCCCGCCGATGAGTCTCAGCGGGCTGTGGCTCGAAGCTGGGGATAGCCCGCCCCACGCAGGGAGGCGCCATGTTTCCATACGGAAAGGCGGAGGGCGCGGCCACGTCCCAGTCGCTGGGGTGGGTGACGCGAGGAGAAAGGGAGGCGGAGAAGGCGCGGGTCAGTCAAAAGAAGAAATAAGAAGCAACTGCATCGGAAACCTTCCCCGTCCGTTCTTTGAAATTTAATTATGCCATCCTCTTTGTAGCTACACGAAGTTTATTCCCCTTCTCTCATTTTGGCTGTTTTTTAAAAAGTTGGGCCGGGCGCAGCATCTCACGCCTGTAATCCCAGTACTTTGAGAGGCCGAAGCGGGCGGATCATGAGGTCAAGAAATCGAGACCATCCTGGCCAACATGGTGAAACCCTGTCTCTACCAAAAATACGAAAATTAGCTGGGCGTGGTGGCGCGCGCTTGTAGTCCCAGCTATTCGGGAGGCTGAGGCAGGAGAATCGCTTGAATCCAGGAGGCGGAGGATAAAGTGAGCTGAGATAGCGCCACTGCACTCCATCCTGGAGACAGACCGAGACTCCGTCTCAAAAAAAAAAAAAAAAAAAACAACAAAGCAGTTGGAGTGAAATTGCTGTTTTCAAACACTGCTAAATAGATTACATGTGGGTAGTTATTGCTACCGTATTGAAGGCCGAATGCAATACCAGACCCTCAAACCATTTACTGACTTGCATATTAAAGTCTTTTTGCTTTAAAAAAGAAAAAGACAAAAACAGTTCTCAGGTGAAGATTCCCTTTTTTGGAGGAAAAAACACCAAAAACCCTTAAGATACTCAACTAAATGGAACTGTTAAGACCTGCAAAGAAAACATGCAGTTCTTCTGAGTCTAGACTCATACCGTAAAGTCTCCAATATTTTTCAGCCGTGAGTACAACTTGCAATCTGAGGGGCAGGGATTGGAAAACTATTATCCAAAACTCTGGGGCGTGATGCCAGACAAGTTTTAAAAGCTTCTCTGGGAAAGCAGGCTAGAACCACCTCCCTTACCTTCCTTAAAAGATTAATATGGCCGGGCTTGGCCGGGCACGGTGGCTCAAGCCTGTAATCCCAGCACTTTGGGAGGCCGAGACGGGCGGATCACGAGTTCAGGAGATCGAGACCATCCTGGCTAACACGGTGAAACCCCGTCTCTACTAAAATACAAAAAAAAATTAGCCGGGCGAGGTGGCGGGCGCCTGTACTCCCAGCTACTCGGGAGGCTGAGGCAGGAGAATGGCGTGAACTTGGGAGGCGGAGCTTGCAGTGAGCCGAGATCGCGCCACTGCACTCCAGCCTGGGCCACACAGCGAGACTATGTCTAAAAAAAAAAAAAAAAAAAAAAAACAACAAAGCAGTTGGAGTGAAATTGCTGTTTTCAAACACTGCTAAATAGATTACATGTGGGTAGTTATTGCTACCGTATTGAAGGCCGAATGCAATACCAGACCCTCAAACCATTTACTGACTTGCATATTAAAGTCTTTTTGCTTTAAAAAAGAAAAAGACAAAAACAGTTCTCAGGTGAAGATTCCCTTTTTTGGAGGAAAAAACACCAAAAACCCTTAAGATACTCAACTAAATGGAACTGTTAAGACCTGCAAAGAAAACATGCAGTTCTTCTGAGTCTAGACTCATACCGTAAAGTCTCCAATATTTTTCAGCCGTGAGTACAACTTGCAATCTGAGGGGCAGGGATTGGAAAACTATTATCCAAAACTCTGGGGCGTGATGCCAGACAAGTTTTAAAAGCTTCTCTGGGAAAGCAGGCTAGAACCACCTCCCTTACCTTCCTTAAAAGATTAATATGGCCGGGCTTGGCCGGGCACGGTGGCTCAAGCCTGTAATCCCAGCACTTTGGGAGGCCGAGACGGGCGGATCACGAGTTCAGGAGATCGAGACCATCCTGGCTAACACGGTGAAACCCCGTCTCTACTAAAATACAAAAAAAATTAGCCGGGCGAGGTGGCGGGCGCCTGTACTCCCAGCTACTCGGGAGGCTGAGGCAGGAGAATGGCGTGAACCCGGGAGGCGGGGCTTGCAGTGAGCTGAGATCCGGCCACTGCACTCCAGCCTGGGCAACAGAGCCAGACTCCGTCTCAAAAAAAAAAAAAAAAAAAAAAATTCCTAGTATAAGTGGACCTGCACAGTTCAAATTTCTGGTGTTGAAAGGTCACCTGTATATCTTCACAGTGCACTCATGCCACATAATCATTAACTTAGTTAAAAAGGTATTAAAAACTTTAGCTCTAATGCCCAGTTTACGAGAACTATAGGATACAAAGGAACGTGATAAAGGACAGCCCAGACTTGTCATCAGAAAAATTCAGACTGAGGAAAACGCAAGAACAACTGACCAAGTTTATTTAACAATAGAGACAGACACACGGACAGACAAAAAGACAAAGAGATGAGAAGGGTGGAAGGAGAAAGGAGAACTTACTTTTTTTTTTTTGAGACAGAGTCTTGCTCTGTCACCGGGCTGGAGTGCAGTGGTGCAATCTCGGCTCACGGCAACCTCTGTCTCCTGGGTTCAAGGGATTCTCCTGCCTCAGCCTTCCGAGTAGCTGGGACCACAGGTGCATGCCCCCACGCCCGACTAATTTTTGTATTTTTAGGAGAGACAGGCTTTCACCATGTTGGCGAGGATGGTCTCGATCTCTTGACCTCGTGATCCGTCCATCTCAGCCTCCCAAAGTGCTAGGATTACAGGCATGAGCCACGGCGAGTGGCCAAAGATTTTTTTTTTTTGAGACGGAGTCTCACTCTATCATCCAGGATGGAGTGCAGTGGTGCATCTCAGCTCACTGCAAGCTCCGCTTCCCAGGTTCACACCATTCTCCTGCCTCAGCCTCCCAAGTAGCTGGGACTACAGGTGCGTGCCACCATACCCAGCTAATTTTTGTGTGTGTGTTTTTTTTAGTAGAGACGGGGTTTCACCATGTTAGCCAGGATGGTCTCGATCTCCTGACCTCGTGGCCCGCCCGCCTTGGACTCCCAACGTGCTGGGATTACAGGCTTGAGCCACTGCGCCCGGCCCAGAACTTACAGATTTTTAAAGAGAAACTTACACACATCAACCAGGTGCAATTTATGGACATTTGAATCTCCATTTGAATAAACTGTCAAAATCATTTGAGATCATCATAAGATTTCAACACTAACTGCAAACCTGTTATTAAGGAGTTGTAGGTTTATGTGAATGACAATGGTATCATGGTTGTTTTTTTAATGTCCTTTTTGTCATGCACATCAACATTTTATAGCTGAAATATGATATCTGAAATTTGCTGGGGTGAGTGAGGAATGAGTCAGGGTATAGATTAAACAAGACTGTCCATGAGTTGGCAGTTGTCACTGTTAGTTAATGGGTACAAGCAAGAGTTCGTTACTCTATTTTCTCCACTTTTATATGTTTGAAATTTTCCACAATAAGCTTTAAAAATTGTGTTTTTGGAAGCATTAGGACAGTCTGATTTCTGATTTGTCTACAACTTAAGGTAATTAGCAAATTCTTTTTATCATAGCCTAAGTTTCTATCTTGCATCTTTAGGGAGTACCTTTCAAAACACAAACCTCATTCCTATTAACATGTAATTATCGTTTTCTTTACTGTTTAATGCTTTCTTATACAAACACTGCAATGTCATAACATCTAAATATTATGTTCTATAAAGCATTGAGCACAGTAATTATAAATCAACTCACTTAAGTACTTAACAGCGATACACCATATGATTAATACTCAGCTTCTGACACACAAAGTTATACAAAAAAATTTTTATTAAGTACAGTTTCATATTTAGAGCTTCCAAGCTTACAAATGTGATTGGATATTTAGGATACATAATTTATTCTTGAAATACACAACTTATATACAGACATTAAAAACTCAGTCTCCAAAATGCTCAATAAAGATGTCTGGGTGACACTTATAGAATTGACCTAGCAATTTTTTCTTCTCTTTGGCAGAAAGTTTTGAATCCTCATCAATAGTTTTTAGTAAATTCAACAGCTCATCTTTGGTTGTCTTCTGCGTATTGTTGGAATAGTCACGTTGATCAATTCTCTGGCAATAAATATATCCTTAAAGTTTAAAAGTAAAAAGTTCAGTTAATGACTCAATTCCTCATATTTAACCAAAAAAAATCAAGCAATATTCTTGTCTTTATGTTTTTCTTCCCCATTTTGTAATATGCACTGAAGATGGTAAGCACCCCTGACTTTCTAACTCTTGTCAAGTTGCTTAGTCTGAATTACTCTGAGGAGAATGTTTTAAATTTGGTTGAAATTAAAGTCCAACTACTTATAGCAAAACATTTTCAAAAAACACCTGAAATTTGTCTTTGGAAGATCATGAAAACAATATTTCTCAGATTACCTGCATCTCTATTTGGATCTCTTCCGTTCTGTATGGCCATAAGCTTAACACTTACAATTTTATGTAGAGTTCCAGGAATCTTAAGAAAAAG